TCTGAAGTGGAAATGGAATGAAAGTGGAAAGAAAGTCAAGCGAGTTGCAGTGCTGCGTGGTCAGTTATAATTAGGGACATTCGGCTGTGGAGCTTTACGACGAGGCGATTAAGCGAAAGGATACAAACAGGATACAGTGGAGACACCAACGGGGAGACCAAGGCCAAGGCTAAGCCTATTTTCAGTGGCCCACCCCCCGGGAGGCCATTCAATATTATTAATTGACTGGATCCTTGTCCGCCAGGACTCGTAAACATATCCGTTACAGCCGTCGTCCAATTGGAAAGTGGCCAGAGTCATGTCCTGGCTGTTTGCTTAGGAGCAGTTAGGGGAGCGGCTCTGGATGAGCATAATGCTATGAAAAGTGTATCCTTCGGAGAGGGAGTTGATTAATTGGCCATAAACCAAGCGATTATCATTCCAGTTGTAATGGGAAGGGGCTCCAAAAACTAGACACCTCCCCCTCTCGATTCTCGAGTGCGAGGATTAGGCAGGATGTTGCACGATGTTCCACTGTGCCACTGGGCTGGGTGATTGCCACTTGTCGCCCAAAGGGGGAGCATTTCTGGTGGTCTCGGTCTCGGATTCCGTTCCCAATTCCATTTCCATCCGCCCGGGCAACGTTTACCGTTATGATTGCAGGCCCAACTTGCTCGCTTCAGCTGGTGATTTTCCCTTGAAGTTGCCCCGCAATCAAGGGGATGCGAGGGAGGAGGGGAGGAGGAGTGCTGGAGTCCTGGAGGAGGAGGGACGCCAGGCTGTAATTGCTTAATTTGATTACGTGCCGCCGTAAAAAGCAGAACAGGAAATTTGCCAACACACACAAGCTCCGTGCCGGGTAATGAAGTTAGGATGGATGCATGGACGAGCGGATGGATGGATGGATTGGGTGAGCGAGTGGGAGTGGGTGGTGGTGGGGGGTGGATAGGTAAATTGGGGAAAAGGCGAACAGCACAACCCCAACCGCAGGCTGGAAACCTCCCCCAAGCCGGAGCGACTTTAAACTTTATCGCAGATGCCGACCAACTTAATTCATGTTTCGGCCGAATCCTGCGCCGCCTTCGCCCGAATGTCGCAGGCCATTTGCAACAAACAACAAACAAGGGCCAAGGTGGCACAATGGCGTCAAAGGATCGAAATGGGAAATGGTTTAGGGTGAATGGGAAACTGTTCGCTCCTTGCGATAATTAGAAGCGCCAGTGCACGCTCAATTAGAAGCTTGTAAGCTTGCTCCCCAGTGGGTGGCAGGGGGTGGCAGAGTGGGTGGCAGGGGGTGGTGCACTTTCCAAAACATATAGCAACTCCATCCACCCACTGGCACTCTCCTGCTCCGTGTTACTCCTGCAGACACGCGATGATCCGGAGCGGAGCTGCCAGAAGTTGGTATTAGGTGGGTGGAGGGCGGTGGGCCGGAGTGGGTGGTGAGCCAGGCTCGAATGTCTTAATTAACTGTTGGCTGCACTCTGCGAAATCAACAGGCCATAAACGAGGACAGAGGGTGAAGGGGGAGGTGCGGAGTTATGGCCTGAAGTCTGCCTCTAAATAATGTCGAGGACGTCGTGCCTCATATTTATGATTCGCAATTATTCTACAACGTGTGGCGGCAAATCTCCGCTCCGCCCCGCCTCCCCCCGTGAAATTGCAAGGGTATAGGGTTTCGAAAAGGGGTTAGAGGGCGAGGGATAGACGCTTATCTGATTGCAGGATACACGAGGAGTGCATAAATGCGAACACGTCGCCAGTGCCGACCCGGAGAAATAATTCCCTTTGCCAGACGCAGACGAAAGTGTTTGCCAGACAAAAATATGGGGATGCCGGGGAGGGACATGCCGGGACAAAAATAGAAAAAGTCGGGGCAGGAGCGGGTTAGGTGGATTTACATGTCACTGGGCCATAAAAGGAGTTTATGTCTGACATGAGCCGAAAACAATTTGCATATATTTCAGCGCAGGATAACGACTTCATTTGGGATACATTCGGGGGGAGGCCCGTACCCCTTCGGCTTTGTCATTCTCCGGGGAGCATTGCGTAAGCGGCTTCCACTAAAGGCCACATTAAATTGGCCCAGAATGCTGGCCACTTACTTGGCTGTACTCCGGGCTGGTTTCCGGGCTGCCTGCCTGCCTGCCTGCCTGCCCACGTGGAAGGCAATCCATTTACGGGACTGCTCCGTCTCCGTCTTCCTTGCGCTGACTGACGCCATATTTTCTGCTACATTTCGCGGGGGTGTCCGGGGGCAGGCAGGGAGGAGGAGGCGGGCATGTGTTGGATGTAGTTGGTGTGGAACTGCTGACAGAGATGCATGTGGCATGCCACACCGAGCGGCAACAGGGACACAGAGTGCAGCTTGGGAAATGGCCTGGAATTAGTCAGATGCGAACTTGAGTTACCTCTGGTTATCGGGGGAGGGAGGAGTGGATGAGGAGGGGCAAGAAGAGATCCTGCGACTCCAAATGAGCTTGCTTCTAATCCGATTCCCACCGACAATGAGCCGTCAAAGTGGCCAATCAAAGTGGAATCGGGCCGAGAGCCCAAAAGTGAGTGGCCAAAAGGCAGACGTGCCACTAAGTGTTGCACTTGAAGAGTCAAGACGGTGAATGGAAAACGAACTTTGACGTTTAAGACTTTCATGTTGAGATTTTACCAAAAACCATGGCAAGTCTTCTACGAAAGTAGCTTAAGAAAATACCATTTTAGGAAAGAAATAATATGCAGATTCGTTAGATTTCTCCAAGTGCATTGGCTGATGACTGACACTGCTTTTTGGCCTGGCTAACTCAGCATTTAGGGCCCAACTTTGGCCATTACTGGACCCACTTAGACGGGGGCCTGGCCACACTGGCATTTCGCAACACTGCCATTCTAATAAACTTGAAACTTTTCTGTTTTTTTTTCCCTTCTTGGCCAAGTGTAGTGGCAAAAAATGTTCCAAAGAGGCAAGAGCAAAAAAACGTGGCTGGAAAAACTTGTTCATTGCCTTGCTGCACTCGTAATCCCCGCCATTGAAAGTTGCGGCTGCATGAGCAGCAAAATGGCGCCCAACGGCGTGGCGCCAAATGAATTGCATTTTGTTGGAGAACAATTTGAAAACCATTCTGGAACCCCAGCCCCAAAACCAGACCAATGCTAGTAGTATAGTACCAGATGGGGCAGACGCTACGCGAGCACTTTTATTCACTGTCAAACGGAATTTAACTGAGTTCCAGTTTTCAGTTTTCAGTTTCCAGTTGCCGGCATTGAAATTAATTTACCATTTTTTTTTTTTCCAGCATTTTTTTCTTTCAACTTGGCCTGGCTTGAATCAGTTAAACTAATTTGGCGGCGCCATTGCCATAATTCCCGCTCACAGGGCATTTTTAATCCATTTGGAAATGGAAACGAGATGGGTGAGCAAGCTGGAGAGCACTATCGGGATAATAGTCGATGATGAGCCACTCGGAATCGTGACCACTGCACATGGCAGCTGATATCCATGGAATCGAGTAGGGGCATTCACTAGATACACATGCTGATAGAGAGATTCAGATGCAGATACCACGAATGGAGAATGGAGATGGCGGCTGGGAAACACCTTCGATTCGGGTCCAGGGCTCTTCAAATCCTGGCTGATTGTGTTGTTAATACAGGCGATGGTGTTGCCACGGCAACCTGTCCTCGAGAAGCAGGATGCAGGAGATAGCACCCAGCCGGGTAGGTGGTGGGGCAGGAAAAACAATTTTGCAATTGGCATGTCGAAAATCAAGATGCACTCAGGCATGTGGAACGTAGCAGAGTGGCACGGCTCACTGCATCCGCCGCCGCCCCTTTGAAGAGTTGCAAGTTTCTGGATGGGGATGGGGGGCAGAGGAGGATGCCGAGGATATGCTATCCAAAATTTCGGTGGCATGGCAACGGCAAACTCCAGCAAACAGAAAACGAGAAATTATGAGAGCAAAATTCAAAGTCATAGTCAGAGTATCAGTTCTGTGAGGATGTCTTCCTGGGAGGAGGAGGAGTTCAGTGCTCATTTCCAACTGACTGCAACTGGAAATGTTCGGCTTTAGTTGGCCTTATCTTTAAAGCCAAACACTCGCACTTGATTAAGGTCAATGGCAGCAGTTAATGAAAGTTTTCAGCTTGCCGCACAACAGAGGCTACAAAGAGCCGAAATTAATTTCATGGCTCAAAAAACACAAATCGAAAATAATTGTTGTTTCGGAAAAATCCAAAAATCCGGCAACAAAACGCAACGACAATAAGCCGAATTTTTTGAGAACCGCAAGACCAGAAAATATTTGGCAACCGGCCAAGTGGAGGGGAAGTGTGAAAAAAAGGCAAAAGGACAATGACAATGAACCCCTGGGACCCAGGACCCAGCACTCGGACAAATGTAGTGGCAATGAATTGGAGTGGTGGTTTCGGATCCACAAAAACCACAATTTGTCCAAACACGCAACTCAAGCCAATGCCAAAGTAAAAGCCAAAGCCAACGCTAAAGGAAAGTAAACAGGCCGCCTATGAAATCAAAGACAATTGGCAAACTTCTGAAAACTTGCTTGATTGGTCAATTGTCCCCACTTTGAGCCGGACATGCAATTAAAGTTTGCGGTCCCCCGGCCACTTGGCCACTTCAAAGGACCCGTCTCAGCTAGACTGCAGTTTCCAGCCACTTTTAATTGAGGTATACATATAAGTTTTAGGACTTCCCGACCAAACTGAGGCACTCAGGCCTGTGGAAGGCTCCGTTTCCCATTTCGCATGTAAATACATGTGCGAATGCAATCACCTGGCCAGGTGTGTGTGGGTGGGGGCTGGGATTTCCCGGCAAATCGCTTTGGCGCCATCAAAGCCACCAGAAGCCATAATGGAACACAGCCCGATACCCCACCCCCCGCGGGTGAGAGAAGATCTCTGAATGGATGCCTTTCCGCCGCATTATGTTCGCGCATTGATCTCAAATTGAATGTGAATCGCGGCAAGTACGTATCAGTAACTCCATCCGAATCACAAACTGAATCTGAATGATTTCGAGTCTCATTCTGATTCTGATGAGGCCTGTGGGAACTGGCCAGGTGTTGAAGGTGAGTGGCGGGGCTTTTGAAAGGATGCTGTCAGGTGAGAAACAGAGTTGGTTAAATCATTTAGGATACTTACAAGTCATTGAAAAAGAAATAATCTGTGGAGTACACTCTTCACGACTTAAATAAAAGTTTAAAAACATAAAAAAAAATTCAATATTTTAACTCATAAATAATGGTTGATGGTTCTAATGGAACATAATAGACCCCTTAATCTCTTTCCAAAAATGATTATGGTGGGATGGCCAAATTTTATGGTAATACGATTATAATTATGATATAAATATAGGCCTTACAACATAGAGTAAATAGTTTAAAAAAATAGTTTATTTGAGGAAGCTTTACCATGAAGTCTATCTTACGGGTTTTCCTAAACGTATTATTAGTCTATTATATGACCAAGGAGGTAATAATAACTGGTATAGTTACTTTATAACTACCATTCCGATTTTTAGGTAAACTCTCTAGTAGAGTTCAAAAACGTAATCTGTGACTCTGTGGACAAAGACTTCTGCCGCTTTGAATATTGTTATTTAAAATCGGTAAACAGGACATACAAGTATGTGTCAGGAAAAGTCAATCTATTCCAACTACCAATCACCAATGCCACGGTAAAGTATTTAAAGTTTTTAAGAAGAAATCAATACCATTACTTGAATTTAAGGTTAATATTGGGTTTTACAAGCGAATGAATGGATATAAGCCATTTCTCTATAATGATACCGTTGACGGCTGCAAATTTATTAAAAATCAAAAGGGTAGTCCGATAACAAAATATTACTTTGATATTTTTAAGAATTTCTCCAACATAAATCATTCGTGTCCCTATAACGTAAGAAACTCTCATCTATACTCTCATCTTCGTCAAAAGTTTAAAGGTCTAAAAACCATATACTTCTAGCATGACCTCATTATTGAAAAACTAACAACAACTGCGGTAAACCATCAGGTCACAAAGGTATTGCCTTTTCCGGAAGGGGACTATATGCTGCAAATGAATTGGAGTGCTAATGGTGTCCTTCGAGCAATAACTAAATTTTTTTTCTCATTGACTTGAAAGATTTTCTATATATAAAAAAAATGTATTATTTCATAAAATATATCTGGAATATAAATCACTGTTTTTTTTTAATAAAAGTATATATTTGGTGTCACAAAAATTAATTTTGATGAAAATGCAAAAATGAAAAAGCGAAAAAATTAGCAGGCTAATGCTTTAATGACTTGCCATTTTTGGAGCTTCGATATAAATCGAAATGGTTCGCTTGCTGCTAATTCTGTTGTTACTTTTTATTCTCTATAATAATTTGAATAAGCTAATAAGTTTAAAAATATGTATAGACATCGACAGACAGTCAGACTAAAAATGACTAAAATGGATATACCCATTATAACATAGAATGCTATATAGTTCGTTTTCCCCCGGCATACGATGAGTACTTGTCTACGGTTTCTTCGAATTTTATTATGTATTTATTGCATTGCCAATGAGGTAAGATAAAAGATATATTCGTTCTTAAAATTTAAGACATTAATGAATGATGTATTTATTTTAGGTAATGCCTGCCTATGTCAAGCTTAAAAATGTTGTGTGTACTTCGTTGGATAAGGACTTTACCGACTTTGAATATTGCTTTATAAATTCGGTAAACAAAACCAATAGATCTTTGTCTCTTAAGGTCAAACTCTTCCAACTACCAATCACCAATTTCACGGTAAAGATTATACTATTATAATGTACAGAACCTAATCTAGTATATTTCAGTTAAATACGGGATTTTACAAAAAAATTAATGGATTCAAGCCCTTTCTTTATAATGTCACCATAGATGGCTGCAAGTTCTTAAAAAATCCAACTAGCAGTCCGCAGACGAAATTCTTTTATGATTTCTACAAAGATGTCTCGAACATAAATCACTCGTGTCCTTACAATGTAAGTATACAATTATTCTGGTGTTTAAACTTTTTTAATCAAAATTTTTTATAGCACGATCTAGTTGTGGAAAATATGTCGGAATATAGAATTAATCATCGTCTGGTGAAGATAGTGCCCTTCCCTGAAGGAGACTATATGCTGCAGCTCCTGTATATGGCCTATGGGATCAATCGCGCTATCGTCAAAATATACATATCCTTGGTTTTATAATTGGAAATTATATTCCATTCTCCATATAATCTAATAAAGCAAGAATTTGGATGTGTTCTTTCTAAAAGTTTCTGAATTTGCATGCAATCTTAGCCTACTCCACAGTAGTCTTCCACTAAAAAACACCCCCTTGAAAGGACCTTTAGGGGGAGGCTGTTTCACTGTTTCGCCATTGACTGTTGATGACTTCATATGCCTTTCCCAAAAACTTGTTTTCATGTAACGACTCCCTTGAAGGACTCCCTCCGCCCCAATGGCTGCTGTCCCTGCCACAGACTTTTATGACATTGAAGCACATTAAATTTAACAGCTTATCAAAGCAGTTGACACTTGGCTCAGACCCAACAGACTCCCTGACCCCCTCGTCATACCAATAAGGACATTTACATTTTGGTTAACTGTAAATTGGCTTTGTTGTTTGTGAGGGGGTGTGTGTGTGAGCCAAAACTTTTTGAAGCTCATTGAGCGCGTTAATTGATTTTCGCGCCAAACAAAAGGCAAAGTTTCAAAAGGACATGGACACACGTCGGGTGTGAATAGTGAATTGTTGTTGGCAGAAGGCAGCAGGCAGGAGCAGCAGGCAGGAGCAGCCGCCAGGAGTGGCTTCCATGAAACAAAAGCCAGTTAGGGAGCCGCCGCAGGAACAGGAACAGGAACTGACGGCGGCACAGGACAAAGTCGGGCCAGGAACCAAAGCCCTATGGCTGAAGCCGGAGCTAAAAGGCCAATTGTTGGCGGTGGCGATGCCACAACTCAAAAAAATACAAAAAAAAAATACGGGAAAAAAACAACAGGGAACATTCTATAAAGGAAAAAGGACCAAACCGAAAACCAAACTGAAACTGAAACAAACTCCGAACAGCCGATATGTATGCTATATGTTTGTATTTCAGCTTGAAGCCTTAAAAAAAATATGCCAACAAGGGTGTGCGGTTGCCAGGACCTCGTCCTGGTGGGGGTGGTCCTGGGTGGCAGAGAAGTGAAGCAATTTACGAAATGACATTATTTGAACGCAAGGCATAAAGAAAGCGACGACGACGGAAAAAATTACCCCAACAACTAAAATAGACAGGGATTCCCCTTTCCATCGCCCTCGCCTCTCATCCTGTTAGTTTATGCAGTATTGTCCTTGTTGTCACTGCCATTGTCCTTGTTGTTATTGTTACGTGCACATATATATTTTGGTCTCAAATTTTTTCTTTTTCTGCATTTTTTTTTTAAAGGAACAAACGTGTTGCAACTTTACATATTTTTACAAGGGGGCGAAAACTATCCTGGTTTTTGTTGGTTCCTCCTTTTCAAGGGAAAACATTTTGCGGGGAGTAACGAAAAAATGAAAAAATAAAATAAAAAGGAGAGGAGTTCAGGTCAATTGCAGGCGATTCTTTGAATTTTTTTTACTTACTTCCGCTTGGAGCACCCCGCCTGGGGGTGGCTTGGGCTGCACTCGGTGCACGAAATGATAATAAAAACGAAATAAATTTTATGCAGCGGAACGAAGCTCAGGGGTGGGGGGCTGTGGAATGACTAACAAAATACATGAACATTTAAGGATACAGCGAACGCATAAAATAAATGAAGTGCATGCAATAACACACCCACACACCCATCCACCCACACACACTCTAAGGGCAAAGTAAATGCCATAAAAGTCCTTGTACAACCCATGACTCAGCCGGGCTTAAGCCCTATAAACGAATATCGATTGGTGGCCAAAAAAAATTAGTTCCATTTTTTTGTTCATCCGTTCAATTCATGTCCTGGAATCTGTGCTTTCAATCTACATATTTCGATATTTGGCAACATTTTTGGCCTACAATTCGGGCTTTTAATTAAAAGGCTTGCCGCCCGCTTCTCACCTGCCTCTCTCTCTGTCAAAAATCCTGGAAAACTTAGTTTTGATTTTCCAGCAATCTCCTATCTATCTATTCCCATCCGAATATCCTTTGGCCTGGACGGGCAGCAATCAACGCCAGTAAGCCCTTGTGTGGGAAGCCAATTCGGTCAATATTTACCTGCTATGATTTTAAAATGTTATAGTCATTTTCTCTGATATGTATTTTGGTCGAGTGCTGCATGTGCAACGTCAGTCTGTGGCAAATTGTGTTTGCTGTGTCGAGAGTGTAAAAACAAATAGAAGAGTCGAGTCCCAGGGATCCTAAAATGCACTTACAATAAAATCAACAATGTATTTCAACAGGCTTCATAGCTATTTCGATTTCTGATTTTAATAACAAGTGAGGGTGACTAGTTATGGTTTGGTTTAACTTGAAATACTTCGATTTAATATCATTATATTTTAAACGATAAAAATACTTAATTTACTTCAAACCAAATATCATCTTTTATATTATATTTTTAATATAATCCAAATATAAAAGTCTCTACTTTCTCTGTATAAACTCCTATATTTTTGGTGAATTTAAAAAAGTAAACCATTTTTCCAGAACACTTTGGAAATACTTTGCATAGCAAAGCAAACAAAATGCTGCATGTTGAACACATTGAACACAAAGTAAAATGGTTCGGCAATTCGGCAATGTGGCAAGGGGGGCATGGTCAATGCAATTGTAGCCAGCAAGCCAATGCCAATGACAGATGCAATTATGCAAATGCAGATACATATGTATGTGTGTGCATCCTTTGGCTGTATGCGAAAGCAACAATGCATAATGAATGCTCCTCGATGCGTGGGTGTTCGTGTCATGTTGAATATGGACACACAAAAGGTTGCCACTGCTCAGTGATGCATGCAACTGCAACTGCAACTCGATTGGCAATGGCAATGGCACTGGCATCAGCAATGCCTCTACAGACTTCCACATTCACCTCCCCATGCTGCATGCAACCTTTGATTTATCAAATGAAATTGTTAATTTCACAAGCAATGCCAATTTATGTGGCATGAGAGTGAGGGGCACCAAAGGGGTAGCCACAAAAATTGCATCAGGATCGACAATAATTGACTCGACATTGAAGAAGTTTCCTTGTGGCCGCAGTTAATTCAGTTTCAGTTTCAATTTCCATCCTCCAGTTTCGATTTCCAATTAAGGAAATTCGGTTTTTGAATTTCCATATAGTAGATCTCTCTCCGTTGTGGGCAGAGAGCCAAATTTTCGCTTTCTGTTCGCAATTTAGTTTCCCGTTCGTAGAAAATGAATTTCAATTAAAATCACTGGCAATCGCAATTAATTGATTTCCATTTAAATTTTAATTTAAATCAATTGCCTTGCACTGACAAAATCAGGTCTGCGGACTCCATTCAACCCACCCAATTATAGTCATATATTGTTGTTAATTCTCACGTACTGCCAGGCATTTGTTTCGTTTGCGGTCAGAATGGGTTTCTGGGGGGCGTCTAGTGGGCGGTGGTTGGTGGGTGTTGGGTGTCTGGTGCTGGGTCCTTTGGGGGACTCTGCAGAGATCAATGTCTGACGCAAATCCATTTACCATAGCTCGTTTGATGGCTGCTTTAATTGGCTTTGATTGCAAAATAACAAGTGCATTTAATGCATGTACATGGCCGGACAACTGGAGCGAGGGCCCGAATGGAGATTGGCTAGAAAATTCAATGAAAACCATTTGTAAGCAGAGTGGCAATAATACAGCCCAAATTTGTAGACTTGCATAATCAAAATTCTAAATAATTATTCATTTAATTGTATTGAGTGTTGCCAAAATTAGCTTTTAAGTGAATTATGTATGAATTTACGAAAATAATGTCCTCTTTGGCAGAAATTTTAATTATGAAACTAATAGGTTTTTTGTTAATGTACGACCAGAAAATACTTTTATAATTTGCATAGATTACTAAGCTGTACTTTTAGATGCATTCCTTATGATTCTGCTTAAAATAAGCAGCTTCACTACGAAGGGACCCCTAGTGAAATCCAGGATTTTCATATTTGGCC